CATAAGTACTAAAATGAACGTTTCCTTCTAAAGGTTGGAGGTCTGACAGCTGGGTCAGTGTATCAGTTTAGGGTCTATGGAGCTAATTTGACTGGACTGGGTGATGCCTCGTCCCCTAGCTCTCCCTTCAAATGCGAGGCTTGGACCATGCCTGAGCCAGGTAATGCGACATGTGCACATAGTTTTACTTCTAAAATTCAAACACTATTTACAAATTTTCATGTCATGCAGCTCTGGAATCTGATTCTCCATTCTTCATATTTGAAGCAACACACTCAAGAAGTAATGATCTGTTGGCAGCATATTGTTGCACCATATAGAATCTGAATGCAAATAGACAACAATTCTTTGGCATGTTTCTCTTTTATATGGTAGTCAAATACATTTTATTTTATTTTTATTGCTCTATTTGGAGTTTATCTCAATGAACTGATGTTGGTGGAAAAGAGATCTATGAAGATTCTCCATAGTTGTATGTCTTTATTTCAACAGAAGAAAGACATATATGTTTGGCACGATATGAATATGGTGAATTTTGGTGTTTTTATGTGGTGCCCTAAGAACACCTAAGAAGTCTTACGTGTGCAAAACACACTCATGCATGAGACTTCCATCCCACAACTCTTGGCAAACATTACATGGGTACTTGTTGTTTAGCAGATTTATAGTGTTCTTACATGTTCTAACATGCTACTGTGTCACTTCAGTGATTCACTTTGTGATTCAGGTGAACTGAGTAAGATGATCAATAACCATTTTCACACAAAGAGATGCATGTTCAGATCTGGCCTGCCTTATGTCCTGATTATATTCCTCTCTCGGCCTCTCGACATTCGTGTATTGAACAGTCAAGACCAGACAAGAAATACAAAAGACCAATGTGATTCTCGTGGAAGCTGTAAAGAATGTGTTCCAGTTATATTTTACCCTAAAACTATTACAGCTGAAAATCTGAATTTAATAAGCCAGATAACAGTGATGAGAATAAGGGTGATAATTTACATGAAACTACATGGAAGTCACGTTTTCTTTGTTTCGTTTTAGGTTGAAATGACATCTGCACATACTGTATTTTCATGAGATTCACCAAAATTGATATACAACCTGATTGAAAGCAAGAAAAACTTGAGCATTGATTTCCTTGTGTTTGGCTTCGGTAGGTCCAGCCTATGACGTGACCTTCACTGAAGTAAGGGATGATTCGGTGGTGGTGGAGTGGAAGGCTCCTGTCTACAACGGCGCCAGTGCCATCACTGGATACTTTGTTGAGAAATCCAAGAAAGGCTCGGATAACTGGAGCAAAGTCAACGAAAGTTCAGTCAACCACTGCTATCTTAAGGTATCGATTTGTGCTGTCAAACTCCCATTCTCAGATATTTTGTACTATTGCTTCAGCTAGACATGGGAGTATGAATACTGTTGTGTTTCTCTATGGCTTTATCAAACGTATTGTTTGAATGTTTGCAGGTCAAGGGTCTAGAAACAGGCGAGTCTTATGGGTTCCGTGTGCGGGCAGAGAACACCAATGGCATTGGGGTGGCTTCAACCCCCTCTGACCCTGTGTGCATCAAGGCACTGTCAGGTAAACCAGTACTGTAGAGCAGAAATACTTGTGAATGAATATGCGTACTGTAACGGGGCGACAGGGTTGAGAAATCCAAGAAAGGCTCGGATAACTGGAGCAAAGTCAACGAAAGTTCAGTCAACCACTGCTATCTTAAGGTATCGATTTGTGCTGTCAAACTGCCATTCTCAGATATTTTGTACTATTGCTTCAGCTAGACATGGGAGTATGAATACTGGTGTGTTTCTCTATGGCTTTATCAAAAAGCTGTATTCATTAGAATTGTCAGAAACAGGTGAGGGTCAGACAATGGCAACAGGTATATTGAGGGCAAGACACGAGAGTAATCCGATAAACAGGCCTAGGTCGATCAACAGCCAACATAATCCAAACGGCTTGACAAGAGGGGTAATCCAATAAAATGAGCAATAGTCCAGGCGAGGAGCAAACACAGCCCGAAACAGCGAGGCAAAGGGTTAATCCAAGATACACAGGCAGAAGATCAGAAAACAGGCAAGGCAAGACTTTGACTAGGCTAAGGAAACTAGAACAAGAAACTTAAACAAGGACTGGGAACTGGCCCCGTAAAGTAGCTACGCTAAACAGCATAAATACTTAAACAATACTCGGCAGTTTGAACAGGATGTGAGTGTGTGTTTATATAGTGTGTGTGATTGGTTTCAGGTGAACGTGTGATTAGTGAAATTGAGGCCATTGCAGTGACATGTGAAAGTCTGTGTAGTGAGAAAGTCATAAAAATGGAAGAGCGACCTCTGGTGGTAATTGGACGGAAGTCCATGAACCGGATTCGTGACACGTACTTATTTGAATGGGAATATATGAATATGAATACTTAATGGGAAAAATATTACGGTCACACTAACATTAACAAACCATTAACTAGGACTTTTGCCTCGATTAACTTCTAATTTGCTGCTTATTAATAGTTAGTAAGGTAGTTGTTAAATTTAGGTACTAAATAGTGTAGATTATGGTCATGCAGAATATGTGCTGTATAAGTACTAATAAACAGCCTATATGTTAATAATAGGCATGTTAATAAGCAACTAGTTAATAGTGAGAATTGGTCCCTATAATAGTGTTACCAACCTTACAATTAAAAAAACAATCACTTTCATCTGTTTATTCTAGAGCATGTATGCACATTGAATGAACTTAAATGAAAAGCATTTTTGTGCAATTTGAGTTTAGGAATCACAATTTATGAGACAATTAGTGTTGGATTTTTTGCTTATTCGTGCATAGATTGTTTGTCGACATAGTTGATGGGGAGTACTTATAAAGAAAATTCTGTTACCAATTTCTCTCCAGCATGTCATTACAAACCCATACGACTTTGGTTCATCTTCGAAACACAAATTAAGATATTTTTTATAAAACTGAGAGGTTTCTGTCCCTCCATTGGAAGTCCAGGTAACTAAAAAGGTCATAAATGCATCGTTAAACAAATCCATATGAACCAAGTGATTTTATCCAAGTCTTGTCAAGAGATATGATCACTTTTTAATGTACAGATTTAATTTTGTCTTTTATTTGCATCTAAACAGTGATTGACACATACATAGAGCACATCACATATGGTAAACGCGAAAGCTCAAATGTGTGCATGTGGCGCGTGAGAACCAATTAGGTTTGTTCTAGCAACACATGCACAAGCTTGCATGTTTACAATATGTGATGAGCTCTGTAAGCGCTAAATTAGATCTTTTCATCAAATAAAGCAACCTAATCTCTTCACAAGACTTGGATTAAATTGATAGATTCATAATTAATTTGTATTATTTTTATATTCATATTTCATTTTTGGGTGAACTGTCCCTTTAAGGCAGTGATTCTCAATGAGAGAATATTGGGGGTGCTGGAAGATATATTTTTGAAAGGGGTTTTGTTTACAGTAAAAGATTCACACCAAGACAAGATGAAACTTGCAAGTACTTGCAAAAGAATGTGGTCTGCATCATTCTAACACATGCCAGTTTACACCAATGCGACTAGACGAGAAGAAGTATTGTTTCCATAGCAGCTACTCTTTGCTTCAGTTTTTCTGTCAGCTTTGTGTAGCACAGCTGTCGGACTTGTGAAAGCAACTTAGTGTCTAGCATCCAGAAACACGCTATAACATATACAATATAATAATAGTAAGAAGAAGAATGCTTCTTGTTTATTGATTGGCTGCTTTTTGCGATAATAATCTAATTAAAGTTTGAATGCCAAATTGCTTTGCATTTGTTTAACCCTCAGAAAAGTCATTTCTATTCACATCCCTGGGAAACTAATGATAATGATATTTTAGCTGTTAAAGTTATGGAGAACCACTGCATCAAGGGGAATTTTGTTCCAAGTCAATATGAAATGTTTTTTTTTTTTGCAGCCCCCTTTTTGCTTCCATAATGTGATGCATTTACACATGAAAAAGGATTTTTAACCAGAAAATATTGGGGAAATCATTACATAACAGAATAGAGCTAGGTTTTTGGAAAGTGTCAAGATTTTAACTGATTAGCATGGCCCAACTAGCCATGCTAATGCTAGTTTTTTTCTCAATTGACTGCTTTTGTAAAATTACTGTATATTCTGACAAAATGTTTATTTGTTTATTTATTTATTTTGCATATAGATGTTTTGCTACTGAACTTTTTTTCTACTATTTTCTTGAAGGCCATTAAAAGCGTGAAATGGACTGGAAATGGAAAATGTCTGCTGTCTTTGATGTCACATCTCAGCATAGTGACTAGTCAGTCAATCAGCTTTTTGCTGCAGCACCAGGGTGGTTAGGAATTTGTCACATGACATGTATGGCTCCAGATTGGCTCAAAAGTGCCAATGAGCAAAAACGGCAGATTTCAGTTCACATACTTCCGAGGGATGAACATGAACATGTGGCTTCCTTCAGTATGGACCTCATTGGCTTGGTGACTTTGGTCATCCATCCAGGGTGTTTCCCTGCCTTTGGCTAGAGATGATGTGATCCTCTATGGGAATATATGCTGGGTAGTTGCATTTCAGAGGTGGTTTTTTACTAGAGTATGAAGATTGACTTTTTGGAATCGTGCACAGTAAAACCAGAAGTTGCAATCAGTTTCGTCAGTTGTAAATTCATATAGTCTTTAAGCACTTACAAAACCACCCAGAATCCAGAATAGCTGAATATCAGTGGATTGAAAGAAGGGATCTGTATTTTGGATGAAATGAGAGGAGTTCAGAGCCGTGCGGGGCAGTGCGGATGGCACCATGGGTGGCGTTCTGAAGTGTCTTGGGGAGCAGCTGCCTGCACATTCACAGATAAGGAAAACGGGATGATCCAAGATGATTCATTCCGAGCAGCCTGAAAGGTTTTGAGGCTGATAAAATGCTGTCAGCCAGTAGAGTGCACTGTGGATTCGTCTGTCTATATAAAGTATGTGTGTGATGTTGTATGAGATGTTCTCCTTGTAGCACGACCGAGAAGGGAAGCCCTGTGTAGGCTGATTGGTCATAATCAGGGCTACATCGAATGTGCGCCTGCAGAACTCCACAGATGTCTGCAACAATCATTCACAAACTTCTTCACACCTTGCATGTTCATTAATTTTTATTTTATTTTTAAAACAATTTTAATATTACACTGAAAATGGTAGCATCTAAAGTCTGCAACAATCATTCACAAACTTCTTCACACCTTGCATGTTCATTAATTTTTATTTTATTTTATTTTATTTTTAAAACAATTTTAATATGCATTTACACCATTACACTGAAAATGGTAGCATCTAAATGAACTGGTTTTATTCAAATTTAAAAATATTATCCACCTATATACATTGATTTATACCAACTAATTAATGAAAGTAATCTTTATGCATTCAATCAGGTAGAAATATCTCTTTCAGGTCACAACTGCAAGTTACCACTTTTTACAGTTTACAGTAATAACTCACCTAAAATGAAAATACTGCTATTATTTTCTTGGTTTAAACTTATTCTGGAATAGTATACAACTTTATTTGCTGTGTGGAAAAAGTGAATTTCCAGAATATCCTGGCCACTTTCCAAATTATGAAAATGAATTAAAACTAGGTTTGCAAAGCCACAAAATGAGACTTAGTATAAAAGTGGTGCACACAATATTATATAATATATCATCCTTAATAAAATATATAATACGTCTTCTGAAGCCATTCTATAGCTTTGTGTGACAAACAGACAGAAATATAAGCTGATTTTTACGGAAAATGAAATAGGGTGCTCCATCAGGTTTGATTTCAATGACATTTGGTTACAAGACCAACATTGGAACCAATGGCATTTGACGTCAATGGTGTTAAATGTCATCAACGGGACGTTTTTATATGTGACATTTGTAGTCCATTTTAGATCTTCAAAGGAGCGAAATATCATCTAATTAATATTAAGATCATATATATATCCATATAAGTAATTAAATATATGAATTAGTATATGTATATTAATATATGTATATTAATATCATATATAAATATATGAATTAGAGATAATATTCATTATTTAAATCTGATAACTTTAATATTGTGTCCTCCAACTTTTTCTAATCATAGGGAACAGTACTTTTCAATAATCCCACTCTGTCCCAACTGTAAATCCGGTATATCCTATTTTTTAGTCTGCACATCTTGTTTGCTTGTGTGCAAATTCTTCTCTGTTCTGTTATGTTGAAGGCACCCAGGAAATCAAATGTGGCGTCGATGAGGAATCAGGTGACATTTATCTCTCTTTTGAGAGCTGCCAAATGGCGGAGAAATCAAAGTTTGTGTGGAAGAAGTCCTACCAAGAAATGACTGACTTCTCTAAGGGAATCATCGTGAAGACATCAGGCAGCCAGTAAGACAAACACACGTACGATGTGTCCTAACTAGATCTGGACCAGATACATATTAGCTCAAAGCATATTTAGGGCAATGCCACAGTCTGTACATATTTAATTCCGTTTGTTTTCCTTTTGTTGTCCCACCGAACAGACACTAATGTTTGCTCATTTGTTTCTTTAGCTCAACTTTGCTTTTTGAGAACCCAGACAAAGAGGATTTGGGCACATACTCTGTGTCTGTTACACATACTGATGGTGCCTCCGCCAGCTACAAGATCTCAGCAGAAGGTGAGGCCTGTTAATATATTATGACTATCACCTTCATTATTAATGCCCTTCCTCAAAATTATATAGAGAGCCAGACACTATCAAAACATTCCACTGACAGATTCGAATTTTATTTGATTTGGCTGTCGGATACTTGTCAGTGTGTTGATCTGTATTATGGATGCTACATCATCTGCAGTGAAGGGGTTGCTGTAATATTACATATTGTACAAAGATCCTTAGTAATAAAAATAATAATGCTAATAAGATTTGTGTTGTCTTCTGTTATGTCTTTGAAAGTGTTGATAGTTGCCTCTGTCCTCCATTTTAGAGCTGGAGAAGATGTTGGCCCTCAGCTATGACATACGCAACCCAAGTGAGTGACCCTGGATAGTAGAGATTGATCACAAACCATGTTCAACACATGTACGTGTACTATTCAGGGTTCCCACAGTCTTGGACATATTCCAAGCTTGTAAAATGATGGAATACAAGAAAATCCTAAAAGGTCATGGAAATGATTGTAACATTTCACAATTCGTTTTGTGGCACGTTAATTCATAGTTATTGTTATGGTATTTGGAATGTCAAAAAATGTAAGTATTATCTATTGCATAATTACCTCATGTTAATGTATAGAATCACTGTGTTTCCAAATTTTCCATAGTGTGTATACATTTTTAGTTATTCTTTGCTCTAAAAAAATTAATTGGCTAAAAATGACTTTTTCTGAGTGTAGAAATTGATCAATCTATGATTTTATCTAGATAGATGGCAATATTCAAGTATGGGAACCCTGAATTTTAATCTGCCTTGTTGCTACATTGCTTGGCAACCATAAATGACCCTGCAATAATAAATGGTATGACATGACATATTATTAATAATAATGTGACTATCTATTGAACATTAGTGTCTTTTTTTTTTTTTCAAATTACTAGTACCACTGTTTTATAAAACACTTGAGGCTGTTACAGTGATTTTACCAAAGTTAAATGGGATTAGCTCAGGTTTGCCAGGTTTTCACAAGAAAACCTGCCCAATCGCTACTCAAAACTAGCCCAATCGTGTTTCGAGGGGGTCCCCAGTTAAAAATCATGTTCCGGGGGGTAAAGTAGAAGTTTTTTGGCAGGGTTCCCCAGCTAAAATTCGCCTTCCAGATGATAAATATCATGTTATTGGAATCGCTTCAACCCGCGGACATGAAAAACAACCCGCGGCAACAGTTCAAGTAACCCAATTCCGCGGGAAAACCGCGGACTTGGCAACAATGCTTTAGCTTCATGCTGTTTCTGACACAAGCGGCAACCTTCCCCAAAAGGGTCTGGCTGCAGCTGGCGCTTGCACTCTCAGACGTGCATTCTCAGGCTTGCACTCTCAGACACTTGCGCTTCCGCTAGCGACGTCACTTGCAGTCTTTTTTATTTTGTTCTACTTATTGATTACTTTTTGTTTGACTCTTCAGAAACCTAATGGTAACGTCACGGACACTACGTCCATGTTTTTATACAGTCTGTGGCCTGACAATAGCATTTAAGCATTTCAAATTCACTATAAAAAAGGACATGGCTTATCGCTTAAAAACTCTGATATTTTTCTACATGATCGGCATGTGTTATTTCACAAGTGTAAAGTCATGCATATGAACAGTGACAACACAGAAGACAATATGTCAGATTGTCACTCATCACGTCTCTTGTGTCGCAGTTATCCCTCTGAAGACTGAACTGGCCTATAAGATTCTAGAGAGAGGCCGTATGCGCTTTTGGCTGCAAGCTGAGGGCATCTCCTCTGCTGTGACCTACAAATTCTTTGCCAATAACAAGGAGCTTGTCAACTGTGAGGTAAACAACTGCAAATAAAGTGGTACAGGCAACCACGTCTTCATTATTTCATAAACAGAAAGCAGAGTTTTATATTACCCAAAAATGAAGATTCTGTCATTATTTACTCATCCTTAGGATCCTCCAAACCCCATATGACTTTCTTTCTTCTATGAAACATAAAATAAGTTGTTTAACAGCACAGTAAAAGCATCACAAACAGCGTCCATATGACTTCTGTACTAATTTCAAAATGACTAAAGTCATTATGTACTGAAAATATTTAACTTTAGGAATACAGAAAATATCAGTATCATACTGGTTATCAGATTATTTTGAATATATATTGGCTAATATATTAAATGTAATATCGTGGTATTATATTTTTAGTGTGTATATTCTAATATCCTTTGTCCTCCAACTTAATTTTCACAAAGACAAATAATTTAATAACACTCGTTAAATGTACGTTTTAGAGGATCTCAAGATCTATCTGTGTATATATAATGATGTGATTTAAAATTTTAGTGTTTTTTTTTTTTTACAAAATAATACTGCTGCATCCCTTTCACTGAACTGAAGAGGCCAGCATGGAATTTCTGCTATAAGTAATGCCTTTTGTGTTCTGTGGTAGAAAGAAAGACATACAGGTTTTGTATTTGATTACTGAATTGTCATTCTCTGTGAACTATCCCTTTAAGCTTAGCTCCAACCTTTGCTGTGCACGAAAACATAACCAATCCAAATAAATAGATTCAGCTCTATTGCAATACTACCATCTGTTATGTTTTTCTGTTCCATTTGCATGAGCCTCCTAAGAAAAGCCCAGGAGAGAAATGTTTACCTCTCCGGCTTTTTCACAGCAAACTAAAATGAGTCACGATGCAGCTACAGGCATTATTGAGATGGTGATGGATCATTTCACTGACGACAGCGAGGGCACTTTCACCGTGCAGATCCAAGATGGCAGAGCCAAGGCCCAGTCCTCTCTGGTGCTGATCGGAGACGGTGAGAGCCAGCATCGCTCTAGGGCTTCTGCAGCTCTCATCTTGAGATATTGCGCTCCTCTGTTGAACTCTACTCACTGACCTCTTATAGTTCCTGCTTTATTTTCCTTTTCCAGCCTTCAAGGCAGCGCTGGCTGAGGCGGAATACCAAAGGAGGGAGCAC